ACTGGGAGGAAAAAAATCTAAAGTCTCCCGATTATTAGCTCCCCTTACACAGTCCAGAGGCAGTGAGCGGTTCAGGAGAACATATTCCATTGTCTATACCAGGTTGGCAAGTGGCACATACAGTCGCTGATACATTTTCATCATCCTCCAGATGCCGGGATTTGCTCTGCGCTGAGGCGGCGTCATTCCGTCCTCCCTCTGGCACCTCCCTCTTTCCATCAGCCATTTAGAGGGGCTGTGACATGTCATGGCCACTACACTCCTGAAGCAAGGCTTGGATCCTTTCATTGGGGTTTAGTAGTGACGCCAGCTGTGGGTGGTGCCTACCATTGAGGGGGGTGGAGTGTTGGCATCTAGATGGCTCCAGCGGGCATGGGGGTGGGTATTGCCAGCTAGAGGTAACCTGGGGAGGAAACGCCTGCTAGGAATTGTATCAGCCTGGGCTAGTTATTGGGACTTGTAATGGGGGTGTATGGGGGGTAGTGGAGCGTTACCTCCTCCAATAAATTGTCCCAAAACCTTCTAATGGAGCTGACAAAATTCTTCTAATCCCAAGTGTACGTTTGTTTGTTTCGGCTTGAATTCTACACCCCCTTGTCTATAAAGAGCCGCCCTTGTCTATAAAGAGCCGCCCTTGTCTATAAAGAGCCGCCCTTGTCTATAAAGAGCCGCCCTTGTCTATAAAGAGCCCCCCTTGTCTATAAAGAGCCGCCCTTGTCTATAAAGAGCCGCCCTTGTCTATAAAGAGCCGCCCTTGTCTATAAAGAGCCGCCCTTGTCTATAAAGAGCCCCCCTGAGATCTGCGGGGATTGTCACACTCTCTGCCCTGTGTTCCAGTTGTAGTCACTGCGGCCGGGAGTCCAAGCTGGTGTCCAAGTTCTACGAGTTGGAGCTGAACATCCAGGGCCACAAGCAACTGACGGACTGCGTCACCGAGTTCCTCAAGGTGGGTTCTCCCCTCCACCCAGCGTTCACAGCCACCCCATCTCTTCTGTGTATCACATTGTCGCCCTGTGTGGTCTCCGCAGGAGGAAAAGCTGGAGGGAGACAATCGTTATTTCTGCGAGACCTGCCAGAGTAAGCAGAACGCCACCCGCAAGATCCGATTGGTGAAACTGCCGCCGACCCTCAACCTCCAGCTCATGCGATTCGTCTTTGACAGGTGTGGATCTGAACTAGGCTCCGCCCCAAGCTGAACCTCCATTTTGTAGAATGTGTTTCGTTGCCAATAGCAACCGCAGTCTAGTTTCTCATTCCGCAGTACAGAAGGCTCAATCTGATTTATATGTAATCTTCATATGTGATACGTGAGGTCCGATGTTCTGGTTTTGCGGAAGGTAATTGTATCTTTTTTCTCTGCAGACAAACCGGGCACAAGAAGAAACTGAACACGTACATCGCATTCTCCGAGACCCTTGATATGGGACCATTCGTAGAACTGGCAGGTGGGTGGAAGTCACATTTTTAAGGACTTGGATAGTCACAATCTGCTTCTCCTTTTAAAGGAGAACGAGCGGGTCCGGGCTTTCCCCCATAGTTCTCCTAAGGCCCCATTTGTCGCGCGATTTGCATTTTGCGCGATATCGTGGAAATGCTTGCATTGCAAAGAATGGAATCGCGGCAAAATCCGCTCCAAAAAGGGTCCTGCTGTAGCGACGCACGACCCGCGACAGCAGGACCCTTTACCCCATTGCCAAGCATTGGAGAGCGATATCGCGTGGTAAATAGCCGCGATATCGCGGGAATTACTGCGCAATAAATCGCTCAATGTGAACGGGGCCTGAGGGTCACGGGGGGGGACACAAAATGGCGTCCTCCCATCACCCAAAGCTCAGTATATAGGGAGCTACAGCTCGCGGTATACTGAGAGCGCCGCAGCCAGAACGGATCCCGACAATTATGTCTGGATCCGCCCAGCTGCGTGAGTGACAGCTGGCTCTGCCTATCTAGAGGCGGAGCCAGCTCTACCCGCCCCCTGGATCAGACAGGGGAGGAGGGAAATCCAGTCATGGCTCTCTGCACGGATAGATCGAGAAGTGAGCGAGCGCCGGTATGTGTTCCCTCACTTCCCGATCTATAGAGCCGACCTGTGACAGTCTCATTGTCACAGGTCGGCTAGCCTCATAGTTCTCTAAGAGCGCTCCGGTATAGATGGCGACTATTGCCAAAACACACATTTCCATCTTGGCCAGAGATGGACTGTAACGGGGTTCAGATTCCCTGTGAAGTAATTTAATGACAACATTTTCTGACTTCTGTGTTGTAACCCATGAGATAATGATGGGGGGAGGGGGGGGCTGTGAGTGTGAATGTGTGACACGTGTAGATTGACGGACCTCCGGTAACGCTTCCTGTGCAGAGTTCGGGTCTTTAGTGATGTTTGCTCTTCTTTCAGGCAGTAATTACGTCTATGAACTGACGGCGGTCCTCATCCACCGGGGTGTGAGTGCTTACTCCGGACATTACATTGCACACGTGAGGGACCCGCAGACCTCCGAGTGGTACAAGTTCAATGACGAGGAGATTGAGAAGATGGAAGGGAAGAAGCTCCAGCTGGGGATTGAGGAGGATCTAGGTAAAGGCTTTACGTTGTGAGTGCCCTTTTACCTCTCGCTTTACTATGGCCAGTGTGCTCGCCCCCCCC